AATTTTTAAACATGCATATGCTATGACTTGCACTCCCACAACTATCAACGTAGCCTACGGAAATATCAGAAGATGTGCATACAGTTATATACACAAGGATGTACTTTTCAGCATTGTTTCTAATTTTAAAAAATAGAAGCTACAAATCTATGAAGAAAAGAGTGGCTAAATCCTATAATACAGTGATCTCCTAAATAGCTACTTAAAGACTGAGAACTATCTGTGTGCACGTGTGTATAGTATAACTCCACTTCTGTTTTTACAAAGTCTCCTTTATGTATATGTCAATATATGTATGAATGAGCATGAAAAAAATCTGCAAATACATCCACCAACCGGTACACATTGATGCTTTTAGGAAGTGATACTAGATTGGGGTAAGTGAGTTTCACTGCTCTACAATTTTTAAATTTGTTATACCAAGCATCTTATTTTTTACTATTTAAAAAATATTTCAAAGAGAAAAAAAGAATTTTTTTTTTTTTTTAACAGCAGAGGGTAAAAGTGATTTCTTAAGACCTGTTTTTCTCTGGATGTGTTTCCTTACATTAGCCGTTCAATTATGTGTTTCATTAGACATAGTACAATATACTAGAATTAATCCGGTTTGGGCTTTCTTAGCTGAAACATAATCCAGTCTGGACCCCTAGAGATTAAATCTAGGCAATACTGATGGGCTTTGGGGTATCCCCAAGAGTTCTTATTTTATTTATTTTAATAGATTTAGAGGATACGAGTGTTTTTTCTCACATGGATGAATTGTATAATGTTGAAGTCAGGGCTTTGGTGCACCATCACCAGAATAGTGTACACTGTACACCGTGGGTAATTGTTCATCCCTGATGGATCCTCCTCCTCCTTCCCCTCCCTTCTTAGCTTCCCATGTCCATTACAACACTTTATGGCCATATACACCCATCATTTAGCTCCCATTTATAGGTGGAAAAATGTGGTATTTTCTTGTCAATTCCTGAAATATTTAACTCAGGACAATGGTCTTCAGTTCAATCCAAGTTACTGCAAAGGACGTTATGTCATTCCTATTTGTGGCTGGATTATATATATATATATATATTCACATATATATCTGTATATACACACCACATTTTCTTTATCTGCTCATCCGTTCATTATGAAACTCACTTGGATTCCATGTCTTTGTAATTGTGAATTGTGCTGCAATAAACATTCAGGTGCAGGTGTCCTTTCTATAAGGACTTCTTTTCCTTTGGGCAGATACCCAGTAGTGGAATTGCTGAATCAAATGGTAGGTCTTTTTTCTTCTTTGAAGATCTCCATACTATTTTCCATAGACATTGTGCTAATCTATATTTCCCCCATATCAACACCAACATCATTGTTTATGACTTTTTCAGAATGGCCAATCTGACTTGGTTAAGGTGGTTTTAATTTGCATTTCACTGGTGATTAGTGATGTTGAGCATTTTTTCATATATTTGTTGGCTATTTGTATAGTTCTTCATTTCAATTTAGCATCAGGTCCTGGAAACTTTATTTGTGTCTTTTAGTCTCTGCCCTTTTATGCTCCATGTGGTTAACCAAAACCCCAGATTTCCTCTTAGTAAATTGCTGCTAAGCCAGGTCACCCCATTTCTGTACCTAATCAATTACTATTTTAAATGTAAAGATAGATGGTTATACTTAGTTTTGTTAAATTTCATCTTGTAGATTAGTCTGTTAACATAATTTTGGGTCCTCACTTCTACTGTACTAGATACCCCCCAAAGTTTTACATTATCTAAAAATTTAATCACTGTGGAGATCATAAAATTTATAGACACAAAGAAGGTTTTCAGACAGTATCCTTTTTAGTTGAAAACAACCAAAATTTACATAAGCTTATTCCAAAAGGAAATTTATCAGATAGTCTGAGGCATCTCACTGACGCCAAGATAGGAATGACTTGGGCCTGAGAGCAGCAAGGTGGGACATGGCCAGTGCTCTCTCCTTTCCTGGTCTGTGCCTCTTCTGCTCAGTCTCAATCCTCCACACCCTTACTGACTCTCCCAAAACTTCCAAGGCCCCTTCACCCCAAGGCCCCATCCCTCTCACTGGCCACACTTGAATGTATACACAGCCACACAGACTCACAAAATGTGGGCCATGGAGAAAGCACTGGCTTCCTCCCCCAGCTAAAACTCTTTATCTTAGATTTCTATTCAGGCCCCAGGCCTCTTCTAGACCACCAGTCAGTTCCATAGATTTCTACTGGCTTCCTTTCAAATTTGCCCCATTGGCCCTGAGAACCACCCCACATTCAGAGTACATACCTTGCCTCCAGTGCCAGACCAAAGTCTAATTTCAGTTTCCAGAAGGCAGCAGTTTTAGTTAGGTGTCCAACTTGGTGACCAAGGGGTCAAGTTCAAGTAAAGCAAGCTTGGCTTGGCTCTTGGCTTCCCAGAACCATTCTCTGCATGGGAGGTGCAATTCTCAGATAAAGAGGCATAATATTGATAACTACTTTTTTTTGAGATAAGAGTCTCAGTATGTCGCCCTTGATAGTGTGCCATGGCGTCACAGCTCACAGCAAGCTCAAACTCTTAGGCTTAAGTGATTCCCTTGCCTCAGTTTCCCAAGTAGCTGGGACTACAGGCACTTGCCACAAGGCCCAGCTATTTTTGTTGTTGTTGTTGTTATTGTTGCTGTCATTGTTGTTTAGCAGGCCCAGTCCAGGATCGAACCCACCGGCTCCGGTGCATGTGGCACCAAGCCCTAACCACTGAGCAATAGGCACTGAGCCTATTAACAACTACTTAATAAATTAATACCCCCAAATTGTCCTCTATAGAAATACCAGTGGACACCAATTTCAAGTATAAGATACTGTTCATCAGGTCTACCCAAATTCAAAGTAAGGGGAAGGTTTTATTTTATTTATTTATTTATTTTCTTTTTTGAGACAGGGTCTCACTTTGTCAGCTCCAGTAGAGTGCTGAGGTGCCATAGGCCACAGCAACCTCAAACTCTTGGACTCAAGGGATTCTCTTGCCTCAGCCTGTCAAGTAATTGGGACTACAAGAACCCACCACAAGGCCCAGCTATTTTTAAAGCCAGGTCTTGCTCTAGCTCAAGCTTGTCTCTAACTCCTGAGCTCAGGCAATCCACCTGCTTCAGCCTCCCAGAGCATGAGCCATCACACCCAGACCCAAGGGAAAGGTTTTGAAGTGCGAAAGTTGTGAGAATCAAAATGGAGTCGGTTACATCAGCCCTAATAAAGCTGGGAGCTCGTGGGGGTACGGGAGCTCTCTCAGGCACAATGTGCCCAATAACAGGAACTACCACACGGAAATTTTCCAAACCACAGCTTGCTACATGAGTCACACAAGGACAGTTATCAGCTTGTATCAGAACACTAGCCTGGGTGGGATCACACCTATGATGCATAATCGGGTACATGTTGGATCTATTAGTATAGAGTAGAAATGTCTTAACAGAATAATTAAGTAAACGAGATGAGGTATATATTAACCAGTGTGATATAAGTGTTCCTAATTCTATATGAAATCAGCACATTGTACCCCATAAACGCATTAATGTATTCATGATCTATGTGTTTATGATTTAATAAAAAATATAAATAAATTAATGAAGAAAAAATAAAGAACACTAGCCTGACACACTGTCTCCACTGACAAACTGACATCGACTCCTGCCACAAGCCGTGGTAACCACTGTGCTCTTTCCCTTCGTTTCTAAACAACCTGGGTGTATCTTCCTTTTGCCTTTAAGCTTACCCTTACCGCAGTGTCCTTGGCGTGCCTGTGATTTGTCATAGCACCAGCGTCCTGCATTGTAATGCCCTGCTATTCCCAATTAAACTCAGTATTTCTAGAGAGACTCTCTGTTTGTTATTCAAGCCGCCCAGAGGTAAAGAATAGAGTACAATTTAATGGCGCATTTGACTTTGGAGTCAAACTAGGGGTTAAATTCTAATTCTGCCTCAAACTAGCTATTTTACTCTCAGTAAAATTACTTCTTCAGTTTATGCCTCAGTTTCCTCACCTATAAGATAGCAAATATAACAGCTAGTCTCACTGAGTAATTATAGATAATAAATGAAATTATATGTCAGGCTACCAAGCTCATGGAGAGCATTTAATAAATGACGACTACCATTATTAGTATTATTATATCATTCTCAGTACTATTATAAAGAAGTAAAGCTATCATGGTGGAATAAAAGGCAGTTGGTGTGGCATGATGCATGTGCGTTCCAACCACAACTTTATTTTGTGTATATATATGCAGAGAGAATACATAGGTGAAAATAAAGGGTATACATACAGGATATGCACAGATAAGGTACACAAGAGTATATAGCTTATATAACTATATATATATCAGATAGTAGGGCTTATGAGATAAGAAATATATAGGATAAATATACTAGGAAATATAGGATAATAAAAATACAGCCTTCTTATAATTGAACTTCTTGTGGGGGGAGCAGTGCCTGTTGCCACATCTGTGAGCACCTGAAGGGCTGTGCAGAGAGACGCTAAACCCACGACTCTCTGGAAATGTCAGCCTTGTCATGTGGCGGCATGAGGGGAAAACACTCTGGAGACACAGTCCTTTTGTTTAAAATAGAAACTTTGGAGGAAGCCAAGTTAACACATGACAAATTACTGAATATCCCGTTCTCCTGGGGAAAAGAAAAAAAAAAAAAAGCCCCTTCATTTCTGAAATGAGAAGGGGAATTGCTGGTATCAAAAATCCACATTTCTTTTTTGGTAGAATTCTCCAGCCAAGCTTGGCGCTAACGCAGGAGGCGATTTCACTTCATCGTCACCTCACAAAAGACTTCCAAATTCACTGCGGCAGACACCGCAAAATAAAAATGTTAAATACATCCTAGCTGGGAGGGGATTGAAGCCTTCACGCTCAATCAAAGATTTGCAATAATAGGATTCATAAAAAAAAAAAAAAAGGACAGATGGGATTAGAAAATGTTGCAGTGAAGACTGTGGAATGAGATGAGCTCACAGCACCACCCTGTCTTTTGTGGACCTGCACAGTGATCCCCGAGCCAGACTGGATTAGGAAACCTCGCGACCAGGAGTCCGGAGAGAGGCCTCCGGTTCCCAGGCACTTCAGGGAGAGAAGGCTGAAACGATGCATCAGATCTACAGCTGCAGTGACGAAAACATAGAAGTTTTCACCACCGTGATTCCTTCCAAGGGTGAGTAAAATTGCCCTTGACTGTCTCCTTAATGCGGTTTCTCACGCAGGAGGGTGAGAATCATCACGTGCTCTTTTACTACGTTTAATCCTCAGGACCTGAGGTCTCACGGGTTCCCTGTTTTAATTTCTTTTTTTTTTTTTCTTTCTGGGAAGGAGGGAAAAGGACAAACATCAATCACTGTGAAACAATCTACCAAGGGGAAAATGAGGGCAGTTAAATACTCCCTGTTTCATTTAATTCAATATTGACAATCCAAGCTGCCAAACGAAAGTGATAGCAAGCCATTGTTAGGGAAACAGAGATGAAAACAACAGCCCAGGGCAGCTAGACGGATTCTTTCATTTTCTCCAGTCAGCAAGTGGGTTCTGAAATGAGAACAGCTGGCTCCAAAGTATGATTTCTCACTGTGCCGTGTAACAAGAGGAGCAATCTCTCGCTGGTGGCCTAAAGTCCAATGAAGCAGTCAGATTAGTGCCTGACCCCTGGGTGGCCTCTCCACAGAAGCCCAGCACCATCCCACCAAACTTAGCCTGGAGCTAAGAATTTTCTTTACCTCCTGAAGGTGTGACAGGAGAATCTCAACTTTGTAATCTCACCTAGTCCTCAGGGAGTGGCAGTCAGTCCCAGGGAGGGGCTTTGTGTGAGGGTTCCGTTGACTCCTAGTGTGTGGACACTGGGCAGTTCTCTTACCCCTGCCAAAGGGCGGCCTCCTCTGCTGGTGCCTCTGCTCTCTGCCTGCGCTCCTATAATTCAGACTTAGCCCCTGGTTTCATTGTCAGAGTTGAATGATGTGGGCTGGATGTTTGCTGGTGTTGTGACTCCACATTCAAACAATTCCTTTCTTCCTCCGTGTCAGCCACCAACAGGGCCATTGCTCAGGGAGTGAGGGAGAGACTCAGCATGGCCACAAAGGACAGCAGCAGACACAGATTAAGCTTCAGACATTTACTGTCTCAGACACAGAGACACAGAGAGACAGGGAAAAGAGCTAGAAGTCTACCCACGTGCAGGAGTTGGGGTTCTCTCTGGACACTCTCAGAGTCATAGCTGACCCTCTGACCCAGCAGTTCTACTTTTAGGTAAATGGCCCAGGGGAACTCTTACATGTGGATGCACACAGTGACAATGACTACATGCAGAGACACTGACTACATGCAGTGACACTGACTACACGGTGACACTGACTACACGCGGAGACACTGACTACACACGGTGACACTGACTACACGCGGTGACACTGACTACACACAGAGACACTGACTACAGGCAGTGACACTGACTACATGCAGAGACACTGACTACACACGGTGACACTGACTACACACAGAGACACTGACTACACACGGTGACACTGACTAAACACAGTGACACTGACTAAACACGGTGACACTGACTACACACAGAGACACTGACTACACATGGTGACACTGACTACACACAGAGACACTGTCTACACACGGTGACACTGACTACACACAGAGACACTGACTACATGCACACTGACTACACACTATACTCGGAGATACTGATGACACACAGTGACACTGACTATCCACTATACTCCGAGATACTGATGACACACAGTGACATTGATGATACACAGTGATACTAACTACCCACAGTGACACTGACTATCCACTATACTCAGAGATACTGATGGCACACAGTGACACTGACTACACAGTGACACTGACTCCAAGAGTGCAAAACTGAAAATAACCTGAATGTTCCTGAAATGGATAAAATGTGTGCCACCATTCTATAGAATACTACCCAACATCAATAGGAATGAACTGGATCTATGTGTATAGACATAGATCTCAAAGCACAGTGTTCAAGAAGAGCATGTTGTTGAGTGCAAACCAAGCAGCCAGAAAAGATATATATGTATGACAGCATTTCTATAAATTTAGAAAAATAAAAAAAAAATTGAACATTGTCAATGGATACTTATCTAGAGAAAGGTATGGAAATACAGGTGTGGATAAAATTACTGATCTCACGGGCCCTGGGAAAACAGGGAAGGTAAATGAGGAAAGGGTAGAAAGGGGATCAGAATATTACCTTAATATTTTATTTATTATATATGAGAAGAAAACAAGTTGGAAGCAAGTATGAAATGTTAAATATACCTATTTTCTATAATTTACTTTCACTGAAAAAAAATTTTTTTAAACCATGATTGTTTTATTTATTTATTTATTTATTTATTTATTTTTGAGACAGAGCCTCAAGCTGTCACCCTGGGTGGAGTGCTGTGGTGTCGCAATGCCCGGCAATTTTTTTTGGGGGGGGGTTGCAGCTGCCATTGTTATTCGGCAGGCTGGGCTGGATTCGAACTTGCCAGCTCAGGTGTATGTGGCTGGCGCCTTAGCTGCTTGAGGCACTGAGCCTGAAAATTTTTTAAGGGGAGAAAAAGTCAAAGACGAAATGGTTAAGAGACTGCTGCCACTTTTGCTGTGTGACCTTGGGCAAGCCTCTAAGCCTCTCTGGGCCTGCATTCCTACTCTCTAAAAGGCAGAAACAGAACTTACCTGCCAGTATTGTCATGGAGAATAAATTAGTTAATATATAAAGCATCTAGAACTATAGCTGGCATGTTTTAAACACCATTAAATACTTCACTGACAAAGTGATTTCTAATTTTTATCTATAGCAATAAATATGTTCAAAGATAAATATTTAATCCTACATTTTTTTCTTGCCATTTTCATTCACAGCCACCTCCAGGTATTAAACCAAATACTTGTTGGTGTTCATGGACATTTTCCTGCTCAGGAAGTTGTTTTCTAGAAAAGGAGTATTTACAAGTTCACACTAGATCATACATGGATGAAGTCTGCCTCCTCCCACATCTTACTTTGCCCATCTGGCCTTCTCCAGAACCTTCAAGCAGAAAGTGAGAGAAGACAGTGCTGGCAGGTCTTGAATCACTGCTCGGAGAGAGACTGGTCACTCATCACTTCCCCACATTCCCTAACTGCAGAAATACAATCAGCTTGATTTTTTCTAACGAAGTTTGAGTTCTCCCTGGTTTTCCCTTTTCCCCAAGGATATGAACCCTATGCTTACAGAGTGCAAAACCCAAACCTTTCTGAGCACAAGCTCAGCAGCATGGGCAGTATAGTCTAGTGGTTAGCAGTGCAGCCCCCGTACGCCTCAGCATCCCTAGCTATACAGTGGAGCTAGTGAA